TTTTTTTCCTTTTTGGGCCAYTGAACAACYCCRGGCACACACATTTAGCAAGCACGTCTATAAAAAGGGCACCTACCCTACAATTTGATTGAAATACTTCCTGTAGCCGTCTAGCGTTTCGTGCTGCAACAAAGCAAGAGAGAGCGGAGCTTAAAACAAAGGCGGCCGCCGAAACTGGAACCAACCCCGAGCCCACCCAAGAGGCCCCAGGACACCGGCTGCTCCTCCTCGCCCCGATGGAGCCACGGGGCCATGGGGCCATCGTACCATGTTGGAGGGGGGCTGCAGGACCAGGCGAGCTTGTTTTCTCCGCTGCTTCCTGTAGTAGTTCTCAAAGGTCTCGCGGGCTCCCTGGAAAASAGAAGGAACTCGCTCAAGCCACCAGCCTTCGGGTTCAGCCGGTGCCCTTTCGCATGGAAAATGGCATGTTTAAGATGCCACGTGCCATCTCTTCCAGCACATCTGCGTCATGCTTGTCTATGGTTGGATTTGATGATGATGAAGGTCTTCTACAGCTGGACTTGATGATGATGAAGGTCTTTTCCAACTATAACAACTCTATGATTCTATGCTTTCCTATAAAACTTGGTCCTAATATCTGACAATCAGGAGTTTTAGTCTAGGCACCGACTCAAGCAACAAGTTATTGAGATACCCAAGGAGCTGGTGAGCTCCTCCATATTCATCTTCCAGCAYCCCTGGGCACATGTGGGCATGCAGCACTGAAGGACCAACTTCTTCACTGGACCATAATGTGAAAACCCACCTGATTTTGCTCAGTTTAATCTTGGGACAACGAACCCACTGATATTAGCAAAAAGAAGGTCCAACTGGTGCCAAAAGGCAGCAGAAATTCCTACACGGAGACGCAGGTGAGGCAGTGCCGTTATAGCCACAACAGTTGAAGGATTGAAGAAATAAAAGTGGTTGATAGTGTTATTTTGTAGGTGGCTTGTTTCCCCAAGCTGGTCTACATCTGAGCGTCCCCACCCAGGCAGCACAATAAAATTGCAAAGATCCTCAGATGCCATCAACCTGATGAGCCATCCCGACCTTCAGCTACCGCCCAGGTCCCCTAGGCTATGTAAAACCCGCCTGTTTCATCCTTGCCTATTCCTTCCTCCCCCACACCCCTATTGTTTTTATGTCTGAAATTGGATTAGAAACACTTCAGAGAAGGGACACCGGCTTGCTTTGAACTGGCGAGAGCCAAAAATCTCGTTTGGAATTCACAAAACAAACAAAAGGCAACAGCAAATATCACCTGCCTGAGAAAAGCACCAGACTTCAACCTTTTCTACTAAGGAAAGAAAGAAAAAGGCTAATTTAATGACCCTCCTACAACCATCACTTGAGTAGTCTGCCTTAAGAAGTCCCCTACTTAAAGGGTCTGGGGAAATTAATGTAATTACCCTTATGGAGCTTCAGCCCGACTCGCTCCCTTCCTTCTGCAACTAGGGCTCCAGGTGTAAGAAGATCCCCAATCTTCTACCCCCCTTCTCCAGGTGACTGTCCCTGCTCCCAAACTCACTCTTTATGCAGGACAAAGTCCCCATTCAATGCCCTCAGACAAAGGTACCGGGATGCTCCAGCTGGAGCACCTCTCTTGAAACACAAGTACCTTCCAGGAGCTTGCAGTGTTCCTCCAAAAGCCAACTCCGAGGCACTGGTCTTGTTTCCAGGTTCTGCAGCAAGCCTCTTTGATGAGCAAAGACCTCTTTTTTAGAACTAAATATGAGCCTTTTTCACAGGACCCGCAAGTGTAGCCCACCAAGCTCTGATCTCCCTTCATGGTCCTCTCACAGGCTTGGGAAACAGCTTTTCATGGGATCCTGGTGCTCCCCTTCCCCTTTGAGTCTTGACAACASAACTGGAGAACTGGGTTATCCCATTCCCAGTCACATCACTAAACCTTGCTCAAGAAATCCTCAAAAACCTTCCTGGGAAAAGCAATTCCTTGCTTGATTCCAGGGATGGAAGGCCTAAAGCGCACGGAGGTCAGCCCCAACCTCCATCCACACRCAATTTGGACCCTCAAGCCGGCCACCGCGATTAGCTGTACACAAAACTGCACCCAAGTCCCTAGGGAAATAAATCCCTTTTACTGAACAAGCTGTCGCCCCACCTAATAAAACACTGGGGATAAGCTGCCAGTCTGCACTCTCTTTGAAAATGTTTTTTATTGATGGTTTTGATGAAGATGAAGCATTTGGCTCCACTCTACAAAGCTGTCTGCGAAATGACCAAATTTGGGGCTCATTGTCTGATGAAAAATGTTTTCCACTGAAAGGAAACGTGATATAAACTCAGCTCAAGATATCCTGTTAGCAATTTACTATAAACCAGCTCTCCACTTAGGAGCAAAGCCTCTTCATTGCCATAGGATGATCCTGAGAAAACTCTGAACCTGGGACCTCCTTGCTTCAGTACGACAGGGAACTTTAAGCCCCTGAGGGGAGAAGAAGACCTAAGGGGAGAAGAAGATCCAAGAACTTAGAAAGCATTCCCCCAAAACACACCCTATCTTCACATTTTAATAGATTCCCTAACATCTAAGGCTGAGACCTGCTGATTTGATCAAAACCATTGCCCGCCCAATGCCACTGTTCTCTATTTTTACTTTCTTGAGCAGATCTTAAATGTCCCCAATACTGCAATGAACAAATATCCCTCAGCCCCCAAATTCTCTCCTGATGCTCCCCATATTTTTGTTATGCACAACCACATCATTTCCTCTTAAATCCATTCCCCATCATCCTTCTAGATGCTCAGGTATTATAGTCTCCTGGGAATGGGAAGGGTTTTTTCTCCTTTTAGCTAGACTACTCAGTTTCATGCATTCGATCTATTTAAGACCATTCAACTTATCAGGCTCTGAAAATACTCTCCTTCTTCTCTGTACTTGACTATTTTAATATCATTTTCCTCTGGGTTAAGGAACAAAGGAAAAAAAAAAAAAGAAACCACACCAAAATCTATCCAGAACGTGCAATTGCAAGACCCCATATTTTACAGATTGCTCATCTAGAAGCACCAAACAGGATTCCTGCTTGGATCCCGTTCTCCTCTCACACCTCACGCGCGGCGGTTATTCACGTTTAACCAGCACTGCCATTAGCTTTTTTCAGATCTGAACACGTACGTGCCCTGCTCGTGGTTGTTGTGTCCTCTCAGGGGGAGCCAAGCCAACCTTCTCCCTGTCCCTCTTGAAAGCAACTATCTGAAAAGATAAAGATGTGATGCACCTGCAAGATCTTCTTGTTGCCATTATTTTAAAGTAACTTCATGGTCCATGTGCAGATATTAAGAGGGTCATAGCAGCGCTGGCAGTACTGGCAACCTGGGAAATACACCTGGAGGGAGCAACACTCAGCTCTGGCCTTCCACTGCTGTCCCACCTCAGCATGGTCTAGAGCTGGTCCTTAGGCAGAAGCAGGACGCTGGTCACAAGCAGCCTTAGAAAGGCAGGATCCTTGTTCCTTCCGAGTTTCCTGTAGGATTTACCTGTAACTGGGGGAAGACAGGTAAGCTGGGGAAAGGAGAAGGAGGTTCCTCACTTATCCATCCATTGACTTTTAACAAGAACAGCTTTCACCCCGGTTCTCAACCCATCTACTTAAGCAAGAAGAAGGACTCCAAAGCTACAATTCCAAACTACACATTTATTCTAATCACTGGTCCAGGAAAAACCCTCCATAACACCTCATATTTTTAAAATTACCGGGCAGAATGCTCCTTCTCAAATTAGCTTCAGAGTTCACAGAGCTGGCAAAGAGAGGCAGATAATTAAGACAGCAGATGAGCACCGTGTAAGGGAAAACAGAATATAATCACAAGAATGCAAAGAAAACAACGGCTAAAAAAATCCAAAAAAGTTTCATAACTCAGGAGCGGCGGAGAGCTGAAAGTAAATCTAGCTGTGAGTTATAAGGGGAAAATGTGCTGTAAATTTCCTGCAATCTATTTGCCGCTGTCCTCAGCAAATAACTCAAGAACGGAGGGTGGTTCTGCAGCCAGGGCGCGCAGACGATGCCTCACGTCGATAAACTTCTGCTTCCTTTACTGACCTGGAAGCAGAAAGCACCCCGTGCGGCTGTATATAATAATAAAAATAATTCAGCAGCAGCGCAGATGACGGCAGGAAGCGCGGCTGCGATAACCCATGGCTCCAGGGCAGTCGTGACGGGCTGCAACATCTCACGGGCTTCACAGTCCTTGCAACGTCCCCCAGAAAGCAGGGGATCTCTAGGCTCTTACATTAAAACGTCTGTCCGGCATCCACCAAGCACGTCATTCTCAGCACTGCAGCCCTGCCTGAAGCAGAGAGGTCAAGAATGAACTTGGCTCTCTTCCTTGTAAGACAGACTCTTACACTCGTGGTCCGTCTGGATTTAGTAACGTACTCACATTTGCTACTGCATGACCTGGATTTTTCTTAAATTTATCTCTGGCTTTCACTGGCTCTTCGTCCTCCTTTGACTTTGGTCCATGGAAATTCTCAGTCAGGTTTCAGAAGCCTCCCACTCTTAAACGAGACTTGCACAGCAGCTGACAACAGCCCCGTGAACACTCCTACAAAGCCCATCTCAAGGACTTGTGTAACTCTTTGCCTTCAGATGGTTCCCAATTCACACAGAGAATGGAAAGAGGATCTCCCCAGATCTACAGTTTTGTTGTAGCTAAGTCAGGTCATCAGTCTGGATGAGTGATAGATGAGTAAATAACTCATCACATGGTCAGGTTCAGGGGGGCACGATTATTCACTTGGAAGCTACAGGCAGGACACTCCCGTGGAACATCTTCAGCAAGGATCTGCTCTCACCAGCTTTGCAGATGGCACCAAACTATGGGGCAAAGTCAATACACTTGAGGTCAGGGCTCTCATTCAAGAGGGCTCTTGAGAAGCCTGGAGAAATGGGCCAAGAGGGACCCAACAAAATCCAGCAAGGACAACAGCCAAGCCCCACAAGTGGGAAGGACCAGGCTGGGAAGTGTCTGCCTGGGGAGCAGCTCTGAGGACAGGGACCATAAGGTTTGACACACAGCAAGATGATCGTGGACCAGTATCATTCCTTGTGATGAAAGCTGCCAACAGTATCCTGGGATCCAACAGATGCCTTCTAGTTCCTACAAGGAGATCATCAAGAACACGGAGCTGGGCTCTTCATGGAGGTGCATGTTGGGAGAAGCTAAGACATCGAGTGTAAGGAAAATCAAACAGTTCTGATGGGAGGTAACAGAAAACTAATTTACAGAAGGAACTGTCAAGCAGAGCGGGTTGTCCGGTGAGGTTTTAYGGGCTGCACTGGAAGGTTGTCAAGACCAGACTTCATAAAGCCCTGAGCAACTTG